CAGCCCGGCCGTGCAGCTGCTCTGGCCAGTGCTAAAGGACACACAGCTGGCAGGAATGGGTGGGATCCCAGGCAGAGACCTGTGTGTGGCCCCAGTGAGCGGCTGGCCGCTGCTCGGGCAGAAGGTGATGGGAGTGTGATGGGAGGCCAGATATCAGCACCCAGTGGGCCTTTGTCAGGAAGTGGGGAGCCCAGTGCCTGGAGAGCCACCAAAGCTCACAGCTGTCCAGCAGCCCCCCGCCGGGCTCAGCTCCAGAGGAAAGCAGGCGGGTGTGCCCAGGGGGATTCACAGGTGTGCACAAGGCCCCCCTGAAAGGCCAGTGTGAACAGGCCAAGTGAGCAGAGAAGGGGTCTCTGAGAAGCCAGGATTTCTACATTTGAACCGAGCCTTAGTGACCACGGCGGCGTCCTGGGCCTGGTGGGAAGACCGAGCTTGTGCCATGTCAGCCAAAGGGTGGCGCTAGTGCTTAGGCCAGAGGCCGGGGTCCCCGTCAGGAGCAGAGGCAGCTCCCTTCCAGTGGCAGTCATCTGCGTGGCGGGTCCAGGTCTCCTTCCCACCGCGCTCCCCAAGCCCCTTGGTGTGGCACTCCCGGCGAACCCCAGGGCCAGCCTGAGCAGCAGCTGGGAACAGCTGACCGCCCACCCTACACAGCTGCCCCCACTCCCAGCCCAGCGCCAGGGGAGATGCTGTTCCCAGGGCCGGCAGGCCCACCCCACAGGTGAACATCAACAATCCCAGAAACGCGCCACACAGACGCCCCACGGCGATGGCCTGAGACTCAGCACAGTAACCAGGCTGGCTCTGCCCCCTTAGGCCACAGCGGGGCTGGGTTGGCTCATGAGCCCGTCTGGGCATCAGAGGGCGCTGGTGGCAGAGAGCGGTGCCCTGAGACTGACCCAGAGAGGCCCCTGAGCTGTGCTGCACCCCCAGCGGCCCGAGCACCCTGGGCACTGGCTCAGAGCCTCCGCTGCCCCCCGCCCTGGCCGGAGCTGGCCGCCTCCCTGGAGAGCTCCCGCCGCCAGGCTGAGTTTCCATTTCTTTTCCTTCCTTCTGCTATTTTGGTGCCGTTCCCAGAGGGAAAACCCACTCAGCACACGAGCGTTCCCAGAGCAAACCCAGCCACTCTCAGGGCTGGTGCATCGGGGGGCACTCAGGAAGTGAGTGAAGGTGGGCGAAGGCCTTTGGGGCTGGGCCGGGGGTCCGCAGCCGAGCACCCCCCAGCGCCCAGCACCTGACCCCCAGGGGTGCTGACGCTGCACGTGGTGGGTGCCCTGGGCACTGGGATTTGGTTTCTGAGATGTGGGCTGTGGGGACAGAGAACCCTTCAGGCTGCCTGCCACAGGCACAGGAGGGTGGGTAAGGGCAGGGGCAGTGGGTCCCTCATGGGGGTGAGGTTGTGACCCCTGAGCTGGCGATCTGGGCCTGGGAGTATCCGTCAGGAGCAGCTGCCAAGAGGACGTTCCCAGTGCCGTCCACCATGGGAAAATATTTTATCAAAGAAATTTGAGTTTAAAAAAAAGCCTACGCACGAACCCCTGACATGGCCAGGCAAAGCATCTATTTTTACTGTCCCTCTGGTCCCCTCTGGTCCCCTCTGCCGCGGTGGGAGCGGGCCATGGCCTGAGTGGGAGAGGGAGTGTCCTGGATATCAGTGATGTTGGTCCCGGAAGTGGGCACCTGGAACGTGGCATGTGTTGGGGACCCCCATTGCCCACACCCAGAGCCCAGACCCAAGGGGCAGCCAGATGCCCGTGCCCGGCCTCGTCCCAGGGCCTAGAGACCCTGCTTCTCTCCTGATGACCAACCCCAGACGAAAGGACAGACAGGAAGAGGCTCAGCGGCGCTGACCCCACCCCTCCCCGGTCATTGTGCTCCGGGGGCCCCCAGCCCAGTTCCCACACTCAGTGCCCCTGGGGTCACACAGGCACAAAGGCTGTGGGAGGGGTGACCACCGCCCTGCTCCTGAGGCTCGGGAGGGGCCACCACGGGGAGCTCTCAGGAGGACGGGTCAGTAGCAGCCGACCGGCCGGTGTGGAGCTTCCAGAGCTGTCTCGAGTCTCAAGGGCAGTGGGAGCCACCAGGCAGATTCCGGCAGGGTGGGGGCCCAGCATGCCCCAGACTCTGGACGCTGGCTGAGACGATGGCCGAATGGGCAAGGTCAGCACAACCCCCAGGAGTGACAGCAGGGTGGGCCCAGGCTGGTCACTGCCTCCCCTGCGGCCCCCCAGGCCCTCCCCACAGCCTGTGGGGCCTCCCTGTCTGCCCCTCCCCCTTCCAGAGGAGCCCTGGGTCTCAGCCAGTGCCCAGCCTTGGTTCCCACCAGATGGCCCTTGAGGGACTGAGGGCCTGGACCTCACCACCCTGGGGTCCCCTGGCTCCTGGTGGCCCTGACCCAACCCTAGCGGCTTCAGAAAGGATCATGGCACTGCTGAGCCAGCGTGAGACCCACGCCCTTCACACCGCAGCTGCTGCTGCTAGATGTGGTCGCCTGGCTGTCAGCTCCGTGTGTCGTCCCTGAGACCCACACCGGTGCCCGGGGAGGGAGGTGTGTGAGTCCCAGCCTGGTTCACACCCAGCCTGTGGGGAGGGTGTCCCGGACCCGGCCGTCAGCGCCACTCCTCCCTGGACCTTGAGAGTGAGCTGCAACTGGGTGTTCCCATCAGCTGTCCAGGGCCCTCAGGACAGGTTTCTCCAGCTGCACCCCTGGGTGTTCACAAAAGTGTGAACACAGGTCCTGTCCACTTCCAAATGGGATGACAAGCTTAGAATTGAAATTCAGAGAACACACCCAGCATA